TTGTCACCTCCTGTGTTGTAGCGTCTCCTCCTGTGTTGTGTTGTCTCCTCCTGTGTTGCGTTGTCACCTCCTGTGTTGTGTTGTCACCTCCTTTGTTGTGTTGTCACCTCCTGTGTTATAGCGTCACCTCCTGCGTTGTGTTGTCACCTCCTGTGTTTTAACGTCACCTCCTTCGTTGTGTTGTCACCTCCTGGGTTGTGTTGTCACCTCCTGTGTTGTAGCGTCACCTCCTGCGTTGTGTTGTCACCTCCTGTGTTGTGTTGTCACCTCCTGTGTTGTGTTGTCACCTCCTGTTTTGTGTTGTCACCTCCTGTGTTGTGTTGTCACCTCCTGGGTTGTGTTGTCACCTCCTGTGTTGTGTTGTCACCTCCTGTGTTGTGTTGTCACCTCCTTGGTTGTGTTGTCACCTCCTGGGTTGTGCTGTCACCTCCTGGGTTGTGTTGTCACCTCCTGTGTTGTGTTGTCACCTCCTGGGTTTTACTGTCACCTCCTGTGTTGTGTTGTCACCTCCTACGTTGTGTTGTCACCTCCTGTGTTGTAGCGTCACCTCCTGCGTTGTGTTGTCACCTCCTGTGTTGTGTTGTCACCTCCTGTGTTGTGTTGTCACCTCCTGTGTTATGTTGTCTTCTCCTGTGTTGTGTTGTCACCTCCTGTGTTGTGTTGTCACCTCTTGAGTTGTGTTGTCACCTCCTGTCCTGTGTTGTGTTGTCACCTCCTGGGTTGTACTGTCACCTCCTGTGTTGTGTTGTCACCTCCTGTGTTGTGTTGTAACCTCCTGTGTTGTGTTGTCACCTCCTATGTTGTAGCGTCACCTCCTGTGTTGTGTTGTCACCTCCTGTGTTGTAGCGTCACCTCCTGTGTTGTAGCGTCACCTCCTGTGTTGTGTTGTCACCTCTTGTGTTGTAGCGTCACCTCCTGTGTTGTAGCGTCACCTCCTGTGTTGTGTTGTCACCTCCTGTGTTGTAGCGTCACCTCCTGTGTTTTGTTGTCACTTCCTGTGTTGTAGCGTCACCTCGTGTGTTGTGTTGTCACCTCCTGTGTTGTAGCGTCACCTCCTGTGTTGTGTTGTCACCTCCTGTGTTGTAGCGTCACCTCCTGTGTTGTGTTGTCACCTCCTGTGTTGTAGCGTCACCTCCTGTGTTGTAGCGTCACCTCGTGTGTTGTGTTGTCACCTCCTGTGTTGTAGCGTCACCTCCTGTGTTGTGTTGTCACCTCCTGTGTTGTAGCGTCACCTCCTGTGTTGTGTTGTCACCTCCTGTGTTGTGTTGTCACCTCCTGTGTTGTGTTGTCACCTCCTGTGTTGTAGCGTCACCTCCTGTGTTGTAGCGTCACCTCCTGTGTTGTAGCGTCACCTCCTGTGTTGTAGCGTCACCTCCTGTGTTGTGTTGTCACCTCCTGTGTTGTAGCGTCACCTCCTGTGTTGTGTTGTCACCTCCTGTGTTGTAGCGTCACCTAGTGTGTTGTAGCGTTACCTCGTGTGTTGTATCGTCACCTCCTGTGTTGTAGCGTCACCTCCTGTGTTGTAGCGTCACCTCCTGTGTTGTAGCGTCACCTCCTGTGTTGTAGCGTCACCTCCAGCGTTGCGTTGTAGTGTCCCTGTCTGCGTTGCGTTGTCACCGCCTTCTTTGTAACGTCCCCTCTGTTTTGACGTTGTCACTTTCTGTGTTGTAACGTCGCCTCCTGTGTCAACGTTGTCACCGTCTGCGTTGTAACGTCGCCTCCTGTGTCAACGTTGTCACCGTCTGCGTTGTAACGTCGCCTCCTGTGTCAACGTTGTCACCGTCTGCGTTGTAACGTCGCCTTCTGTGTTCCCGTTGTCACCGTTTGCGTTGTAACGTCGCCTCCTGTGTTCTCGTTGTCACCGTTTGCGCTGTAACGTCGCCTTCCGTGTTCCCGTTGTCACCGTCTGTATTGTAACGTCACCGTTTGCGTTGTAACGTCGCCTCCTATTGTGCACTGTCACCGTTTGCGTTGCGTTGCCACCGCCTGTACTGTAGCGTCACCGTCTGCGTTGAAGAGTCAGTGCCAGCTTTGCAACGTCGCCCCCTGGTGATGTTGTTTCCATCTGCGTTGTAACGTCGCCTTGTGCGTTGCGATGTCACCTCTTGCGTTACACCATCACCTCCTGTGTTGTGTTTTCACCACCTGATTTGTTACGTCGCCTTCTGTGTTGCGTCATCACCCCAGTATTTTAGCGTCACCTCCTGTGTTGCGTTATCACCACTAGTATTTTAGCGTCACCTCCTGTGTTGCGTCATCACCCCCAGCTCTGTAGCGTCACCTTTGTTTCGTAATCACCTCAGTATTTTAGCGTGAACTCCTGTGTTGCGTCATGATACCCACCCTTGCGTCATCCCATGCAGTGTTGCGTCATCCGTCCAGCGCTGCGCTATCATCCCCAGGTTTGCGTCATCCTCTCCATTTTTGCGTCGTCGTCTCCAGTGTTGCTTCAACCGACCGTACTCCTGGCAGTCTCTGTGAGGAAGATGAGGCAGAAGGGAACACCAAGGGCAGCCACAGCGCCGTAGGTCCAGTAGAGCCCCGCCCGTGTCAGGGCCTCCTGCATGGGGCTGAAGAGCTGCATCACCGCGAAGGACTGGAGGCTGCCCAGGAGCATGCACACGCTCACCGCCTGCACCACCACCGTCCCGACGGAGGGCAAGCAGGGCAGGATGAGAAAGGGCAAGGAAATTTAGAGGGCAATGAAGGGGGAGAGAGGGCAAGGAATGGGAGGGAGAAGGGAAACAGAGAGGATGGGAAAGAGGAAAGGACACAGAATGGAAGATGGTAAGGAAGATGCTAGGAAAAGAGGGAGCGTATGAGAAGAAAGACGGCGGGGATGGAGAGAAGGAAGTAAAAGGGGAAAGGTCAGGGAAGGTTAGAGGGAAAGGAAGGAGTGGGGGCAGGGTAGGGGAAAGACGGGAGAAGGGAAAGGGTCAGGAAGGGAAAAGGACAGGGAATGTAAGAGAGAAGGGAACCCAGGTAGGGCAGAGACAGGGAGAGAGCCAGTAAGGGAAGAGTGAAGGGAAGGAGTGAGAGCAGGAGAGAGGAGTAGACAAGGAAGAGGGCGAGATGGGGGGAGAGGGATCAGAGGGGGAGGGTTCGAAAGGGGAAGAGAGCAGGCAAGGTGAGAGGGCAATAGCGGGGAAGAGGGAAGGGGAAAAGCAGGAAGGGGAAAAAGGCGGAGAGATGAGAGAGGTCAAGGAAGGGGAGAGGTCAAGGAATGAGAGAGGTCAAGGAATGGGAGAGGTCAAGGAATGGGAGAGGTCAAGGAATGAGAGAGGTCAAGGAATGGGAGAGGTCAAGGAATGGGAGAGGTCAAGGAATGGGAGAGATCAAGGAAGGTAAGTGGTCAAGGAAGGTGAGACGTCAAGCAAGGGGCGAGGTCGAGGAATGGTAGAGGGCCAAATAGGGCAGTGGACAGGAACAGCAAAAGGGCTGGTAAAGGAAGAGGGCAGGAAAAGTGAGAGGGACGGGAAGGGGAGATTGCAGAAAAGGGAGAGAGCATGGAAGGGGAAGAGGGGGAAAGGTCAGGGAAGGTGAGAGGGCATGGAATGGGGAAGGGAGGAGAAATGGCACATTTAGGGAGGGGGAAAGTCGTTTTTAGAGAGAGGGCAGGGAATGGGGAAGGGAGGAGAAAGGGAGCGTTTAGGGAGAGGGAAAGTCGTTTTTAAGGAGAGGGCAGGGAATGCAAATGGGAGAGGGAGGGGAAAGGGCGCGTTTAGGGAGAAGGCAGGAAAAGGAATAGAGCAGGTAAGTGGAGAGGGCAGGGAAGGGGAGAGGGCAGGAAAGGGAATAGAGCAAGTAAGTGGAGAGGGCAAGGAAGGGGAGAGGGCACGGAAGAGGAGAGATCAGGAAAGATCAAGCGTAAGGAAGGGTGGAGGACAGGACAAGGGAGAGAGCAAGGAAGGGCATACGGAGGGCAGGTTTGAGGGCAGAGAAAGAGAGAGGGGAAAGTGTTTGAAAACCGTAGGAAATACTCGGTATTACATAACAGTAATTTAATTAATATGTTGTTGTGATTCGATCATTAATATCTATGAAAAATTAGTTATAGTATCTCTAATGACTTCATTAGTTAATTTCTTCATATTTGTTACCTCTGCTTCTTTACTACAGTTTAGTGGGAATGTATTGTGTAGTCCTTGAAATGAATTCCCCTCCCTCTCTTCAACTCATTTTTACTCTTAACAGTTAAATATGAATTAGCTCCTGGACCCCGACACCTGTTGAAAATAGCTACCTTAATACTCATGTAACAAATGCTGACAGGTTTCTTCTGAGATCATTACAGTCACAAAATTAACTTGTCTACAGTTTTCACAGTACTTTCTAAGACATACTCCCCACAGTACACTGGATGTATAGTCCCTAAATCGTATATCAGGCTCTTATATTTACCTGTCTCCCACGTCCTATCACCTTCCGCTCTTTATCTAACTATTTCGGACTCAATGAAGGCTTACTGATAAAGCCAAAACCGAATTCATATACTCGTCCTTCAATTGCTATAATTAACTGCCTACAATAAATATACTAAACTTTAGTGTGATATATAGACTGAGAAATGTAGTCTCAATGGTCATTGTGACTACAATGTGACTACAATGACCAGGCACCTGGCTGGCCCATGGTTCGATTCTCTTATACTGGGAAGTGTTCTGTTTGTTAAAATTCCTTGCGAGTTCATGCAAGTGATATATTCAAGGCACGAGTTTTCCCTAGTAAATATGATTGATAGAAAATGAGTGTTTGACCAGAAGCCATTCCTTTAGTGTCGTTGCGGACGGAGATTTCGTGGAAATGCCGCCCGAATTTCCATTCTTTTAACGATCAGAGGGTGGCCTAGTGGTTAATGCTCTGGTCAGGCCCCTGGCTGGCCTATGGTTCGATTCCAGCCCGTCCTCCAAACAAAGATCCAAAAGTGATTCCATGCACCCACCAAACCCCCTGTTTAAGAATGAAAAGCGGTTTACACACGCAACCCGTCCTCGACTCAAGTCCATTACATTCAGCGGTCGACCCCACAGACGCATTCATAAATGTTAACATGCTGTTCAATCAAAACGGGAATTTTCGCAAGTATAAATTAATATTATAATATATTAGCATATTGTGTATATATAGGCATAGGATAGGTTAGGTTAGGTGTTTAGGTTCTGTTGGCGATTATTTGTATTTGTAGTACGTGGGTGAAGCATTTATAGCGTTGTGATTCGAACAAAATTCGTCAGTGAAGCACTTGTTCCGGATATGTTCGAACGTCAGCAGTTGTGAGTCGTATGTAAACCGCTTTTCATTCATAAACAGGGGGTTCGGCGGGTGCATGGAATCACTTTTGGATCTTTGTTTGGAGGACGGGCTGCAACCCGTCCTCGACTCAAGTCCATTACATTCAGCGGTCGACCCCACAGACGCATTCATAAATGTTAACATGCTGTTCAATCAAAACGGGAATTTTCGCAAGTATAAATTAATATTATAATATATTAGCATATTGTGTATATATAGGCATAGGATAGGTTAGGTTAGGTGTTTATGTTCTGTTGGCGATTATTTGTATTTGTAGTACGTGGGTGAAGCATTTATAGCGTTGTGATTCGAACAAAATTCGTCAGTGAAGCACTTGTTCCGGATATGTTCGAACGTCAGCAGTTGTGAGTCGTGTGTAAACCGCTTTTCATTCATAAACAGGGGGTTCGGCGGGTGCATGGAATCACTTTTGGATCTTTGTTTGGAGGACGGGCTGACACACGACTCACAACTGCTGACGTTCGAACATATCCGGAACAAGTGTGCCACTGACGAATTTTGTTCGAATCACAACGCTATAAATGCTTCACCCACGTACTACAAATACAAATAATCGCCAACAGAACCTAAACACCTAACCTAACCTAACCTATGCCTATATATGCACAATATGCTAATATATTATAATATTATTTTATACTTGAGAAAATTCCCGTTTTGAATGAACAGCATATTAAAATTTAAGAATGCGTCTGTGGGGTCGACCGCTGGATGTAATGGACTTGAGTCGAGGATCGGTTGTTCGATTCACTCATATGGGGAAGCGTTCTGTTTGTTTATATACATATATATATATATATATATATATATATATATATATATATATATATATATATATATATATATGTATATATTGTGATGATAATCTCTTTCAAGAGAGATTGAGCCTGCTCTTCCCTATATCATTCACGTCATTCTACAAGTACAAGATGCTATATTGAAGATACGTCCACCAGTATCACAAATAGTTTTGCCCAGGAAGCAAAGCGTACCTTGCTCCACCAGACACGCCGGCTCTCTACCCGCCGTCAACGAGCAAACTACCCATTCTCCGCCTGCCTGCTCCTGATTGGCTGGTGTATCGCCGACAGCACCTGCACCTGCACTCACGCCCTCTACCTGAGTCGACGTCTGGGCCAGCTCACGCCGTCCTCCTCAGAATATCTTTGTGCTCTTAGGAGTTGACATCTCTCTCTGGTAGACTAAGCCCTGGCTCTCGTGTACTAAGGGAGGTGGCAGATCTAGCCAATATTCTCAGCACCTGATTATTATTTTTGTTGTCTTGTACATTATTTTGTTTTAGAGTAAATTTCACATCTATTAATTATTCATGTTGTTTTGTTTGTTGGCTTGTTTTGAATTTTACGTAAGCCAAGGGATTGTCTTTGTTCATATCTTGTTTTCTAAAGTAATTAAAATTTCATTGTTTATATTTTGTGTTTTGTGTGTCTTCCCATTACCTTACCACAGATAAACAGGCAAGCAGTCTCTTTTTTTTCTGTAAGTGTGACAAGGCATTGCCACCTGCCATTGGAGGACTGCCGAACATCAACACTCCAACACTTTACCGTCACAATATATATATATATTAACAAACAGAACGCTTCCCTATATGAATCTTCTCAATATTTCTTACGTTCTTCTTCACTGTCGAAGGAAATTGCTAAATTAACTATCCAAATTTGATTCTTTATTTCTGGTCCGACGCCTGAAGGCGTTTCGAAAGGCTTATTATATTTTCAAAGACTTAGTTTACATGGAATATATGTAGGGTTCACTACTGTCCACAGCAAGAGTAAGGTGTAACCGAACACTTAGGGGATTGATATGGGGTTCAACACCTACCACAGAATGGGGGCCATGGCTGCTCTTAGTATGGGTATGGGTCAACTATTGCCCATACGAGGGTTTGGGCTCAACTATTGTCCACAGAATAAGTATTGGGTCCACTACTAATCATGGGATAGTTAAGGGATCCACTGCCACCCTGGGACAGACAGAAACTCCACTGCCACCAATGGGACAAACAGAAGCTCCACTGCCACCCATTACACAGACAGACGCTCCACTGTCACCCATGTAACAGACAAAAGCACCACTGCGACCCATTAGACAGACAGACGCTCCACTGCCACGAATGGGACAGAGAGAAGCTCCACTGTCACCCATGGGACAGACAGACAGAAACTCCACTGCCACCCATGAAACCGACAGACAGACGCTCCGCTGCCACCAATAGGACAGACAGAAGCTCCACTGCCACCCATGGGAAAGACAGAAGCTCCACTGCCACCCATGGGAAAGACAGAAACTCCACTG